CCCCCACTACTGGCGAGGAAACCTGGATTCATCACAACAAGTCTGAGTGTAGACTGCAGAGTATGGAATGGAAAGATCCTCAATCTCAGACCAAGATAAAATCCAAAAGTCAACCATCAGTTGGAAAATTGGTGCTTACAGTTTTCTGGGATTCTCAAGGGCTGATATTGGAACACTATCAGGAAAAAACTCCCAACAATCAACAGGGCTCCTTACAGTGAGATGCTCACTGAAGAGCTGAAGGCTAAACTTTGGATTCAACGTACACCACTGCTATTCTGGTGTGGTGCCCTGAGTTAACGTGCTGGACTGCAAAGTCTATTTGAACCACAAGGTCAGCTGTTCAAGCTCACCAGCCACTCCTAGGAAACCCTATACAGGGCTCCTATGGGTAGGAACCAACGTGATGGCACTTAACAACTGCTATATAAGAGTCCTGGTGTGGCACTGTGGGATACCTTTACAGTTGTGACACTCGCAATTAGTCATAACAATTATTCACTATTGAATCCTACGAATCTTTTCCCCCATCTCTTTTCACCAGAAACCAATTTGAACCACAAGGTCAGAGATTCAAGCTCACCATCCGCTCCCCGGAAACCCTGTACAAGATTGCTACAGGTCAGAACTGACTATGGCACTTAACAACCACAACTGCTATCCAAGGTTGTTGTAATCTTGCCCACACTGTTGACACTGCAGAAACTTTGTTTCGAGGTGTTACAGCATCCTCCTTAGAGTCCTGATCTCACACCATTAGATGTTCACCTGTTTGGTCCTCTGAGAGCAGCTCTTTGAGGATGAAGACTCACCTGTGCTGATGAAGTGAAGACAGCGTGCACTTGCGGCTTGCAGCTCAGCCTAAAACATTTTTATTAAGGGGGTAGGACAACTTGCTGACAGAGGGTCAAAGTGTATTGAAAAGCAAGGAGATGATGTCAAAAATGATGTATTTGTCTTTTCTAAAAGTGGATTAAAATAAATCCTGCAGATGAAAAAAAAAGGAAACGTTCTTTAATATGGAACCCAATCAAGAAAAGACTTAGGAAACTACAGTAATAAAACCTTACTAGGTAGTGATAAATTACGGATCATAATGTGGAAGTTAAGAGAGATGTTGAAAGTTTAAAATTCAAGTTTCTTGTATAACTTGGGAGGCAAGTAGAGGTATTGTATAGGTTTCTTTTTCTCAGCCATGCAAGTTGTTAATGATAGTAAGGAGCTCTGGTAGCGTAGTGGTTACGAATCGGGCTGCGAACCTCAGGGTCAG